AAAATTTCTGAGTTCTGAAGAAAAAGTTTACATACTGGCAAACATGTAAACCAGAGATGTATAGTTATGACTGCCTTTCTGGGCTATCTGGTTTGAGAACTTGATAGAACTTGAATTAAATACCAAAGTAGTAGGAATATGTTGTGAAATCAGTACTAGGATTGGGGTGAACTCTACAAGAGCATAGCAGTTAAATGATATACCCTAACTGCCAATGTTAGTCTCGGCTATAGCGATACCAGGTCAGCTGTAAGAATGAGATACAGAAGATTCTGGAAGGTTTAGTACAAGGTCAAAGTTTCCTCATATGAGTGAACTGCTTTAAAGACTTAGTGACTATGGCATATTTGTACTAATATCGACTAGAGCATCTTGATAGATATAGATAGGTGAGTGGATACAGGAACAGAGTAGTTAAATAGGGAACTTACAAGTAGGTTTCAGATATGGCAGCTAGTGTAGAACCTTCGAATGGACTATTTAAATTAGACAATGACTAAAGTTGTACGAGTGGCTAGTTGTACACTCTTTTTATAGTTGCCCTCTGTAGTTGTAATACAATCATTAGCTGAATGTACTATTAATAAAATCCTGGGTCACAAGTACTCACTTTAAAAAAAAAAAAAAAAAACTACTTAAATAGGTAATCAAAAGTTGTACATATAATTAGTTGCACACTTACTTTATACAAATAATATATAATATATTAACTATAAATACAAATAAAAGCATTAACAACTACAAACATTGGCTTTAATAAATAAAATAAAAAATAAAATAATATAATATATATTAAATTAAAATTTAAAACAAATTATTGCAAAAAAAATAATAAACATACATATTGATATTAAATAAAAATATACAAAAACTAAGTTAACTATATACAAAATATAAAAAATTTTAATAAATTATAAGTTATAAATAATTGAAATTAAATTAATAAAAATTAAACAAATTTTTTCCAAGTAAAATGTTTTTGAAACTTTAAACAAAATAACTTAATTAAAACTTTATTAAATTTTATAAAACTTTTTTAAAATAAATGTTATAAATTTGTAGAATTCATTTAAAAAATTTTTATTAAATTTGATTAAGTTGTTATTATATTATTGTTGTTTAAAGTTTCAAAAAAAATTCCAATAAAAACAATTTGCTTGATTTTTATTAACTCACTTCTAATTGTTTAAGTCCATATTAGCCAATTTGTGGAATTTGATAAATTGAGAAACCAATCTGTCATAGCTCTAATCAAATTTGAAAATCATTTGACCAAGTTTGAATTTGTTTGACTTTAAATCTGGTGAAATGATCTGCAAATTTGACCAGAACTATAACAGATTGGTTATCCTATTTATTAAATTCCACAAATCGGCTGATGCTTAGTACGTAGTTTACTGTTAAACAATTGATATATGGAATCTTTGCTAACAATTTTTTTTCTAAAAATAGATTTATTATATGTAATACTATATATAACAAGGTTGCAATAATAACTATATTAATAAAATTCAGAAAAAAACCTTAAATAAAAAAATATTATTATATTTAAAAAGTCAGATAACTGATATAAGAACCCTAAATGCCAACTTTATGTCCAGTGTTGGCATTGAAAGAAAAAGGTGCTTAATTGCGAAACGATATGATAAACGCATTTTATCAGCTAAAAGCTCAACAAATAAGAAAATTAGTTAATGCGATTACTATGTAACAAACCACTAATCTCGTGACTGTAAATATTCCTAAGTATTCCAAATTCCGAGTACCGATCTTGATGAGTTAAAAAAATTTATTTGAGTACTGTTCCTGATAGGGTTTTAAAAACGGACCCTAATCCTAACTTTTTTTTCATATACTTCACTATAGTAGTATAATATTTTAGAGGCCCTTTTTTTAGAACCCTATCAGGAACGGTATGTAAATAAATACAGTTACCCTCGTTATAACGGACCCCGTTATAATGGATAACGGAACATTGTTTCTTACCCTATCAGGAACAGTACAAACGATCCATCAGGAACGGTATTTTTGCCCCGAACTTAAAACCGAAAGTTTTACATTACACCTGATCCTGAATTTTCGTTGGCTAATTGAATCTGGACCGTCTACGGACGCGTACTGATTCGCGTGATTTGTACGTAACTATTATAAATATAAAACCTGTCATGTGCTAATGTACTTACCCTACGTGCAAGTCAACGTGTCCGTAGATCGTCCCAATTGAATCAGACATTCACGTGATATAGATATTGATGTTGTTAGAAAGGACGTGATTCCATGCACTCCGTGCACGAGAATTTCTGCCAATCAGGTCGTTTGGCACGCTATAAAGTCATTTTAGTTTGATGGTGTAAACAAAAAACGCGTAGTTGTTGCAAATTTTAGTGTAACAGTTTTATCTATTTAATAACATCCAAAAGATTTAGAATAAACAAAATTTCATTTCCTTTAACCTTTAAAATTATTGACATTTTTTTTTTAAAACACTTCTCATTATGTCTACCGTTGATACTGCTGGAAGATCCCGTGTGGGAACCGAAAATACTCCTGTCAAAACTGGATCAGAAGAAACCGGTGGAAAGAAAACTAAACGCGTTAAAGTCGGAGTCAAGCCCTCTTCAAAAGTCACCAAAAGCTTTAAAGCTGGTCTCACTTTTCCTGTTAGTCGTATGGGTCGTCTCTTAAAGAAAGGTCGTTACGCAGAACGTGTGGGAGCAGGTGCTCCAGTTTATTTGGCTGCCGTTGTTGAATATTTAACTGCTGAAGTTCTCGAACTTGCTGGTAACGCCGCACGTGACAACAAGAAACAACGAATTGTTCCAAGACATTTGCAGTTGGCCGTACGAAATGATGAAGAGCTAAGCATCTTGTTGAAACATGTTCATATTACCGAGGGTGGTGTACTTCCAAATATTCACTCTGAATTACTTCCTAAGAAGAAAGGTGATAAATCGAATGCTACAGAGCCTTCTCCAAAGAAAGCGAAAACGAAGACCAAATAATTCTTTCGGATCTTTTTTTAAAGGGGATAATTATCTGATAATTACAAGTAGCTTATAAACAATCATTAAATACATCATAATTTTTTTTTATTTCGGGATGGGAAACTTTGTACATATACAATGTATTTAATGTATTTAGATTTACTCATTAAACAAATCCTCTGCCGTTTTTGCAATCATTAATGTTTACTACTGCTGATTTTAATTGAATTATCGAATTGTGATTATTTCTTAGACCGGTATAAAAAGTCCGTTATATAAAATTAGTTTTTCTAATTATATACTGTATAAGATAAAAGGGTTTTGGGGCGAACCTAATGTAACTCAGGATCTATCTTCGATTCGTTTTGATAAAACGAATCGAACGATGCAAAAAAATCGATAACTACTCTGTAAAAAAGTATGGTCACGTGACCGATCGACAATAAAATTAAAGAATAAAATGTTTTCGTAACAACCTCGGATTAGCCAATAGTAGTTAGAGTTAGGGTTTAGTTAATAGAGTTGATACAAATAAGTGCGTAACGGGTTGTTACAATCAGATTCATCCTTTTAATTAAATTCAACGGAATTTTTTATTTTAATTATATAACCTTGTAGAATCAGAATAAACAAAAAATTCATTAGTTTGACCTGATAGTTATTAAGAAATTTTTTGTTTAAAGGTTTAAAAAAAAATCAGAAAATTAGTTTTTTTTTAATCAAATTGAATGAATTTTTTATTTATTTTAATTTTACAAACTTACAGAATGAAAATAAAAATTATCTAATTTGATTAAATATTTAGAAACCTTAATCTAAAAATAAAATAAAAAAATTGGCTACAGCTTTTCTTTTATAAATGTTTAACTTGAACAATGTTTTCTTAACAATTACTATTTAAATTTGATAAAATAAAAAAAAATTTTTATCAAATTGAATAGTTCAAGTTAAATATATATAAAAGAAAAGCTATAGCTGATTTTTTTATTTATCTTTAAATAAAGATATTTAAATAAATATCTAATCAAATTAGATAAATTTTTTATTTTAATTCTGTGAGTTTGTATTATTAAAATAAAAAAATCATTTAGTTTGATTAGGTGGTTGTCGTAAAATCTTCAAATAAAGGTTTAAAAAAAATTTTTTTAAAATATTCTAATTTTTTAAAAATTTGAGTGAAACTTTCTCAATAACTTCTACATCAAATTTAATGCTTTTTTTTTTCTAATTTTACATTGTATAATTAAAATTTCATCAAATTATTGAGAAACTTTCGCTAAAAGTTAAAAAAAAAAATAAAAATTTTAAATTGATTTTCATAACCTAGCCGGATCAAAATTTGAAAACTTGTAACAAAAAACTTTTATGTTTTAATAACTGGGTAAGCTTTAATTTTGTAAAATTTTTGAAATTTTTAAAAAAAAAGTTAGTTGACCGGGTCTGTGTAAAAATTTTGTTATCTGATAGATTTTACTTAATTATTTCCACTAGAGATTGTACCCGTATAAGAGTCACCAGGTAACACCTGTTAATCGGGTGACCCGGATTAAATTATCCCAAGTGCTATTCCGTCAGGGAAGGAAAGTCAATCGACGCAAATTACAAGCAAGTTGAGAGCAAAAAATTTGGGCAAAATTCCGGAAAGGTAGAGCATGAAATTTGAAACAATCCAGGTGAACCGGTGAGTAACCCGGAGCTCAAAATTTTTATCGGGTACAACTTCTAATTTCCACTATGGAAATTTACTATTTTCACAACTAAATAAACACGACGAACATACTGTCGTAATAAATTACTGTCAATGGTGGAAATAATAAATTTCATAGTAGAAAAGATGTTCCTTTAATTAATTGACAATATTTAAAAATCAAAATTTATACTTTATATATTTTTTTTAAAAAAAAAACAATATATATCATTTGTTTTAATAAACGTATTCAAAAAATCTTGCTAAAACTTTCACACAATCAATTTAATAATTAGCATTAATATATTTTATTGAATATTTTATCTATTCTAAATATCTAATCGACCGGTTTCTGAACACAATTCATTTACTATCTCATTATTATTATTCATTTCCCTGATTTCGTTATTACCGCAAGATGACAATTCATTTACCTTGTCACTATCATTACATGATAGCAACTCGGTCATTTTTTTTGTTTTCACAAGATGATTCCAGTTTTGACGGATATAATTTAACACACTTGCTTTCAGCTTTTCGTTTTCAATTCTCCAAGAAATCTGAAGAATCTCATCCCATACGTCAATATTTATCATCTTTTCCATCTCCATTGCTATAAATTCTTCCAGCTCTTTCACTTCATACATATTTGCCAACCTGATCAAATTTTTTGAAGCATCCCATGATAAAACCGAATTTTCAGGTAGTTTCCCCGTATAAATAAAGTAGATCAAGAAGTTAAAATGTTCATATCGAACGTTCTGAATTTTGACCGTTTGAGGCATCCGATTTTTATTAAAACATCTTTTAAAAAAAGCGGATCTTAACCCAAGGATTAAATTCGAGGCATGAATTCGATTATGACAATCCAACAAAAAAATGATATCAGAGAATTCTTCATTGTTAAACTCCGATCCAAATGAAGTAAGGAATTTGGGATGAATAATCGGGATGCCGGTTATTCCAAAATTTGGACAATAAAAATTTGTTCGGATCAATATGTGCATATCGTGAATCGAGTTGTCATCAAAGATTATTTTAGAACCACAAAACTGTTGAATTCCATAACAAGGATTTTCGTTGGTTTTACGTATGAAATGTGCATACGGCGGATAGGATTTAATCAGATTCGCCTTATTAGTTGAATCGTTGATAAACAATTCAAAACCAATTCTGACCAGTCTAGAGTAGATGTCATTGTCATCGTCAAATCTGTTTGGACAATATAAAATGAATAAAGATAGGTAACCTTGTTCGTTAAACAGTTCAAGCTTAAGTCGCCAAAGTGTACCAGGATCAGAAAGTTTAATATTCGGATCCTTTATCGTGTTCATCGTTGTTGATGGAGGAGAAATGAAGTCGTTGAAAAGTACCACATTATTTTTTTCATTTTTGTAAAGTTGTTTAAAGTCTTTAATTAACCAATCGTATGAAAAAATTATTTTATCACTTTCTTCATATCGGCGTATTTTATCATCTTCATGTCGATATAACATCATATCATTATGGTTTATGAATTTTTTTGCGGTTTATGGGAAAGATGAACAGCATGTGCAATTTTGCTACGTATTTATTATTGCCATTCACCTTGTCATATGATACTACTAAGCGAAGCCGGCAGGCCAACTGGTCAGGGACACGGAAATTATGAATAAAAATGGAATTTTTAGCATAAATCGGTATAACTCGGAATGCTTGTCGAGACCAGAGAATTGGTAATAATAACAGGTTTGGAATCTTGATTATTGAACTGCTGTTTTAGGCCAACCATATATTTGTGATATGCGCTTTTTTAACGCATAGCATATTGATATGCAATAGTATATTTTCAATGTCAAATAATTTCGCGTAATAATATAGGTATGAAGAAGGCATAGTCAAGTTGCAAGATTACCGTAATTTATAAATTTTTATGGTAAGTTACCAAACTCTGGTAACTTATCTGTAAATAGTGATACAAATGAAGAATCGTAAAATCAATATTAGTTAACTAAATGTTCCTATTTTTTGAAACCGATTAATCGACTTGTTGATTATCGATTAGTATGTATTCTGTGATTTTCTTTCTTACGTAGGTGTTTAATGTTTAGAAAAAAATTATCATGAATGAGCCAAGCCATTCTGCATTCAAGCACATTCTTCTAACCAAGCATTAAAAATTCGGTGAATAAGATACGTGCTGATTTTGGCTATACTATGTATGATAATGAAATATGGGCCCTACGATCCATTGTTACCCGAGATTTTTATTAAGAAAATCATAATAAATCTATTTTTAGAAAAAAAATTGCTAGCAAAGATCCCATATATTATTTATGCATAGAATAGGAGATAGGGGATAGATACAATTAATAAATGACATTTTTTTCGATAAACTATATACACATACAGTAAAACCTCTATAAGTGCACCCTCTATAAGTGCACACCCTCTCTACATGCACACCATAGTCCAATCCCAAGCTTGGGACTTAGACACCCTCTATGTTCTGCACGTGCAACGATTTTGGATTCCGTGTATATTAAAAATTTTTCTATAAATGCACTCACGTGATAATTACATTATGATGGCTAATCAAAAATCGACATCTTAAAATTACGATCCCATAGGAAGACTTTCGTATGATTGGTTGTTTAAATCAATTTAATTTTAGATTATTTATGCAGTTCAAAATACTTTTTAAAAAAATAAAACTACGAAGAATAAACAAAAAAGAAGTATATAGAAAGTTTTATTAGGGTTGTGGGACTTTACTATCAAAAATAATCATATCATTTCTGGTTTTAGAAAATTTAGCATGGTAATAACCTAATTCTATCTATCTTTAAGAAGTCGCTAATATTCTAACTCCTCTAAAACCAGAATTGATTTTGATTATTTTTGATAATAAAGTCCCACAACCCTAATAAAACTTTCTATATACTTCTTTTTCGTTTATTCTTCGTAGTTTTATTTTTTTAAAAAAATACTTTAAACTGTATAAATAATGTAAAACTAAATTGATTTAAACAGCAATCATACGAAAGTCTTCTTATGGGATACGATCAAGTATAAGAAAAATCTGGCTAGCCAGATATCTATCAATAATGAAGTGCATCTCTACCTAAAATGTGCAAAGAAAATGAAATGAGTGCGCAAAAGTAAAAACCTGTAACTGTTCAGCATAAATCATTAAATCATTTATAGGTTTTACTTTCAAGCACTCGAATGCGTGTTGTAGTTGTGATTAGAGATGCAGTAAAATTGTCCCAATGCTAATTGTCACATTGCCGTAACTTGCCATAAGTTATGGCATTATAGCCGTAACTTATTATTTTACTTGTTATTTACTTGCTATAGTTATGGCAAGTTACGGCTATGTAACAATTAACATTGGGACGATTCTACTGCATCTCTAGTTATGTTCACTTTTTTTTTTATAATGTGTTGCTAGAGGAGACCACCGTGATCATTTTAGTTCAACAATTTTATTAAATCCTAATGCCAAGATTTGTACTGGGTTATTTATTAAAACAGATAATATATTGCTTTATTTATTCAGTTTATATTTTATGTAAATTTGAATATCCAAATTTTTTTTAAAAAAATAAAAAATACTAACACTAAGAATTTGTTAAAAATAAAGTTCTGATTCCAGATAATGTAGTTTACAAATATGGTCTGGAGATGTTTAAAATGTATAGAAAAAGTTCAATTTGACTTGTCAATGCAAGATTTTAAACATGAAAGGTATAGTTAGCATCAAAATTACTGAACATATGGGTAAAATTTTTTAGCAGAGTGTTGCAACAATATGTATAAAATTAAGTAATGTAACAAAGTGATAAATCATATTGGGTAATCTATTAATAAAAACTGATGAGCAACAAATCAATTTTGGGTCATTCTGGATTATTTTAGTTAATTAAACCAAATTATGAATTTGATAATCAAGCATGCTTAACCATGGTTTTGGAACTGTGTTTCTTGAAACTTATTAGTTAATTTAAAATAATAGTGTCAAAGCCATGATAAAGTTGGTTTTATTATCAACCAATTCTACTTATATGAATGAGACTATATTAATATAATGATTAGTACTAATTCTGAATTTGTAATAAAAAAAAATTAAATAACCAAAAATAAAAAATAATAAAAAAAATAAAATAAAAAAAATAAAAATAAATAAAAATAAAAATAAAGAAAATGAAAAGTATAATAAAATTTTTTCATCGTATTGCCTTCAAAGCTTTAAATAAATATAAAAATCTTTAATAAAAAAAAATTATAAATAAGTAGTTGTAAGTTCAAAAAGAAAAATTATTTTTAATAAAATAAAAATTAAATTATATAAAAAAATATTTCTCAAAAGAAATACTCTTATAGATGTTCAAAAATGAGATCTTTGTGCTTATATTCTTAATAATAAAATAATATAGGTTCAATATGTTAATTAGATTGAAAAAAAGTAAAAAATAAAAGTTGATGAAAGTACTATTTCTCATATCTTAAAAACTTTAGAACAAAGCCTTAGTTTAGAATTATATAACTTAGATATGAAATAGCATAAACCAGTTTCTTATTCCTAACTTAAACTTGCATTTAGAGAATTTTTTTTGACTTATTACTATTAAATAGTATTAAATAACATGATATTTATTGAAAAAGCAAAACCACTTGTTAAAGGATTAGAGATTCTTAAAGATACATTGCAATTTTCTTCATAATGGTTTTAAAAATTTAAAAATCATAATAATATTCATCAATAAAAACTTGAAGAAAAAACAGAGTTTGCTAATAAAAATATAATTAGTATTGCTTTATTCTTATTAAAAAATCATTGTTCTTAATATCCTTTTAAAAGAATTTACAATATGGATGAAACTAGTCTTTTTTATAAATAAAATTACTAGTTTTATAATTTGAATTCTCATTATCAGTATAAGCACAATGCTATAATTTGATGTAATCATAATAAATTATAATAAAAAATGCTGTAATTAATTATAAATATAACAAATTATGATATTGTGCTTATATTACTAATTTTCACATATTGTTTTATATTTATAACTTTATATATTAGTTGCTATTAATAGAATCATGCAGATTTATTAGATAAATCTGCTTAATCTCTATTAATAGCAACTTGTATTTTTATTTTATAGGTTAGAATCAGATTAAACACTAGTTACTAAACATTTTTCTGAATATAAAATAAACAAAGAATGCTTTTTTAATCACATTGTGTATGAATTCTAATAGGTCTTATAAATTGAATCCTTTTATTATTAAAAAATATCAAAAACCTTGCTATTTCAAATATATAAATATTCAGAATTTATCTATAATATATCACAGCAATACTAAGACATAAATGATTATGTTACTTTTTTAAGAATAGCTTCAAGAATTTGATTACCAATTTAGTTTAAAATATGAAGGCCAGCATATATTACTTCTTCTTAATAATTGCTCTAACTATAAGTTAAATAAACTTAATTTGTATTATACTAATATTTAATTTTTTTCTTCAAATATTACCTTAAGAATCCAACTACTAGATGCTAAAATTACTATAACTTTCAAAAAACACTATTATTATTTCTATATATAGATATTTGAGTTAAATTTATTTACAATATAAATTTGTAATTATTGTAACAACTAAAGCTAAAATTGGTTAAAGTTAAGGTTGAAAGATCTTTATTTAAATCTTTAATACTTATTTAAATTTATTTGTATTCTTTTATTAATATAACTACTCTTAAACCTAATCTAACTTTAAAAAAAAACTAACAAAAAAAAACCTCAAAATTTTTAAAATTTAATATTAAAATATTTTAAAATCTCAGTTTCAATTATTAATTAGTTTTTATTATTATTATTATTATTATTATTTGTTTAAAACTTGATGTTACAGTATATGAAAGAAAGAAACCATGCTGAAAACTTACAGTTAAATGTTTTGTAAGCAATTTATTTTATAATTTAAACCTAAAATAAGGTCAATTCTGAAACTATTTGCAATTGTTAATATTATATAAAAATTTTTCTACTAATATCAATGCAGTGTTAAGAAATATTTTATCAAATGTTTAATAAAAAAATCTAATACTTAATAATCTTAAAGATATAATACAAGCTCTTAATCTTTTTTGTCCTATAATAGTTAAAGAATTTCTCAATATTTCTAAAGAAAACATAGTCTATGAAGTTTTTAAAAATGATCAAATTATTGATGAACTTGTGTATCTTTTAAAAATACTAAAAAAACTATGAATATAGATAAAACAAATAACAGTTATAAAATTTCTGTTATTAGTATTAGCATTGCAATATCTAGTTTAGAAACTATTTGTACATTTCTTCTTTAACAAGATAATGCTAAAAAATATATAAAATTAATAAAAAAGTTTGAAAAATTTATTAGAATTAAAAAAATAAGCATAATGTGACAAACAAATATTGATATATATTTTAATTAAAATTATTTAAATTTTTCTTATCAAATTATTTA